CTTTCTATAAGTGTGACCACTCATACTGCAGTATTTGCAACTTTTTGAATCGAAGCGTTTTCGTTTACAAAATGCTTCATTGTGTCAGTCTATTCCACAGTAGTTGCATTTCTCCAAAACGTATGCTGTTCTAATAGCCATATGATTTATGGAAGTGCCCACATCCATATATAAAGGTTGCATGAAGGGTTATCCCTGATTTAGTGTGTGCTATGCGAGGTGATGTAAAATTTCTAAAGCCAACTCCAGTGGCATGTTAAAGTTCGATATCTGACTCCCATTAACCTTGTCTACGAAGCGGCGTGCTTCTGTCTTATTTTTAAATGCCACTGCCTCTGCAATTACGTCATGAAGCGTGACCGGAGTCTTTGAGCACATTTGATACTCAAGAGTACTCTCTCTAATATGAACAGAAATTGTTCTAGTACAATCTGAGTAATCGATAACCCATCAGTCATCCTTAGTTGAACAGACTGACGTTATTATCATAAAAATCTAAGAGCCTGTTATACAGGACTTTTGTACTATTTTTGAACTATTATACTGAACGGTCATATCCTTAAGAAGTTTTTCTACGGACCTGTATTGTGATAACTTTGATGACTAACCGACAAACTTTACATGACAGTGTTTCGTGGCTAAGCTGTTAATTACCCATTGCTCCAATTCGAGTCCGTAAGTGCCGATTATGTCATGAATTGTTTTGCAGAAAGGCCTCGACATGTCGGAGCTGCTATTGAAAGATGATATGGTGTTAAATGCTTGATGCAATGAAAGCAAATATGCTCCACGCAAGATATTGCTGATGACCGCCGTGGACGCACTCAAGAATCTAACTCTGGTAGATTGTATCTTTGATGGTTGTAATGATTTCTCATATTCTATCCATATATCGATTTCATTCTCCCTATTGCGAGGAAAAGGCATGTGCGCGTGGCGGTCGTAGGTCAAGCTATGCGGGTAAGTAATCGGTGAACATCGGGGAAGTAATCTGTTCGGTGCTTGTGTGTGGATTACAATCCTGCGGTTATAACTTGGTCCGATCGTGTAGGTAACACATTGGATACATTCAATGCCGAAAGTTATTTCAGTGGCGTTTGGGTATCAAGCACGTCGCCTGACGACTGGTCATCACATATGGCTCGATTCACTTGTTTTGTTATTTTACTGATCGACATATGAAGCTTGATTTTTTCAAGAGTGACGAGTCTGTCTTGCTCACAGCTCCATCAGTCGGCGATAGCATTGTGATTGACTAATGGCAAAAAATTAGACTTTTCCTTTTTGAAAATACAGTACTGGATAGCGGTTTCAGATCGGTGTTCCTTAGTCCTCTTACGAAATCTAATTTTTAACTAACGTATTCGTACATAACATTAAGCAATCAAGCAGTCGTGGCACCATAACCCGAATCAGGAACCAAGAGAGCAAATTTTAGCTTAATAAGTGCTAGCAAAAAATAATGTTCCATTTGATATCGTAACGCAAGTTCATTTGTAATAAAAGCATGATACGTGTAGTCAAATATTGCAAGCGTATTTAGGTCAATTGCATTTTTCAGACGGGTAGTTCCGTTTACTGGAGTTAATAAAGCGATTGGCGCTGTAAGCGTTTTTTCAACGATAGAAAGAGATGATGTAGTTTTAGCATTATCCATTTTGTATTTACTTCACTACTCATGTTTAACAAAAACCTACGTTATGCACACTATTAGCAAACATTAATAATTCTCAATTAACATTTAAGTAGTTTGTTTGTTGAACACAAATAGTAAAAAGTACTACGACATACATAATAAATCTTATTACATTTAAGGCAACTGGAAAAAAATGTCGGAACAATTATTTTTGTTGCCATGGATGTTAATTTTCATAAACAGTGTTAATATCATGTTTGATTTATTGATTACATATATCATAATTGTATATTAAAATGTGCAATTAAACCTAACTTGACTACTTTGTCGCTCACATTTTTACAAGACTAACTATAGATAGGCATTTTTTTATAGAGTAATAGAAAATATGTTCAGACACTTGTGAGAATTGAAACGCCATCTGTTAATCTTAATTTGTGGCATCAAAGCAGGTGTTTTTTAAATAATTTTATCTAGTAAATTTTTTACTCTATGAAAACGTTAATATCGACCAAAAATTCAAATTCAATCTTTCTAGAATAAGAAGATTGAATTAAAATAAGAAGATGGAGGAAGTTAGTATATAATGAGGGCAGATATCAAATATAAAGAAACCCTTACAAACCTTATGGAAAATACCGTTCGGTCGATTTTGATGAAACTTTGAGGATAGATTTATCTCATCACGAGTAACAGAAGTCTCCATAAGACCAAAGTTCGCTAATGAATAATTTACGAGATATTGACTATTGAAAGTCAAGAATACGGTCGTGAGTTAAAGACATTTTTTTATTTATTTCGATATTATTATTATTATTATTATTATTATTATTACCTGATTATTTGTAATGTAAGTGAAGTAAATAATTATTTATTACTATAACTTGAAAATCTTGTTGAAGGATGTATCTGTTGACCCAATCGGAGTTCACATACTGATATTAGAATAAACTTTAGACAAATTCCACTTTTAGAACAATATTTATTGAGAAGGTGGAAGGTTTTTACATATTTCATTCGCAACAAAATTAATAAGAATGACACCGAAATCGTCAGACTGGCGTGGTACGGAGTTCCGCGTATGACTTACTTTAAAAGAACTTGCAATAACAACTGAACTGTAAGAGCGTATTCAAAACTTTTTATATTCTTTTTGAGATGAGTATCGCAATTAAAAGTAGTCCTTGTTTATTACATGATGGTTTGCTGATGGTGCGCGTTCGCTAATCCTAGTTTTGATTGATTTCTTGCGGATGTATACATAAATTTGGTTTCTTTTTTGAATTATGAGATTGCATGTGAAAGACTAGAGTACTTCTGTATGTCAATATGAGAAATATTGAAATAAGTTAATAAATGCGAGTGTAAGTTTTAACTATTAGTAATCATTTATTGAAAGTACATGATACGAAGCTTTTGTAACAAAAGAATCAACCATGTTTGATAAAATTATAAATATCACCGAATAGTTGGATCGGAATTCTAACTGTGAATTACTTAAAGACCTTATAAGAACTGCCTACAAGAGTTTATGCGAAGCCTTTTAATAATCTCTTTATCACATTAGTTGTTTATTGTTTTGTATATTTGTAAACAGTGTTTTGTTCGCTTGTTACGTTATAAATTGCTGAGTATTTCGTTTTCGCAGTGTTGTAACCATTGTTGAGCACAAGAGCCCACACAGTAATACTATCGAACTCGAACTTACGGAACTTGTAGAAATCAACGATAGGTATTGAGAGCTAACATCTCTCATTACCTGAGGTTTAATTTGTATTTCACTTTTTAATTACGACATTTATTCTTTTCCTAATTTTGCCGCCTTCTACTCCGTATTTTTCAATATTTCATTATTCGTGCATTCACGCGAATCAATACTAAATAGCAAGACGTAACAATTATAAATCGAACTCTCTGTCAATCCCTCTTAATCCGTAAAGTACGAGTGTCCGTGAACAGTACCTAGTGCACAATTCTTAGCAGCTATATCAAGCCAAGCCAAGATGCAAACTCGCTGAGCAACCAGTAGCGGCCGACAATAAAGGGAAATTATGCACATAATACAACACTTTTTTTAAATATTTTACAAGGATATCAAAAAGTTTGCCAGTTAAGATAAAAATAGTCCTCTAAAAGTAATTCATATTCATTTGGAATCTAATAAATATTATTCGTAAAATAATTAATATAAATTAAAATGAGTAGGATAGGTAGGTGGATGTTCTTATTTCGAAATTTCCCTTACTCAAATTTAGTATATTATTACTTGAGTACATAGATACTGGTATTAGTTTAGTATATATTAATAAAGAATTAAATTATATTCCTTATTTACTGCTAACTACTTCAACGTAAATGATGTAAATGAGAAACTAAAATCCATCGCCGACAACTAAAAGAATTAATTGCTAAATTACTGAGATGTTGTGATTTACAAAAGAATGTGATATCGATTAGAGGACTTTAAAAAATACTATACAAAGGGTGGAACTTGATATAATTAATAAAAAATAAGTATTAACACTATCTTATTTAATGAAAATTTATACAGCTATTTTATTTAAGATCTTATTTTTCTTACAGTTATTGAATGTTACGCCTCAAGCTCAAGGGCAGACACCAGACGCTGAAGTATTACTAAGCGATCACTTGTGTGAGAAAGCTCATTTTAAGGCCTCTCCATTTCGCGGTTTCCACCTGATCACTCTCTCTCATTTTTGAACTGGCTCTCTCTTTCTCGCCTCTGCGAGAGTCGACACATGATTTTGCTCTCGCGGTTAATTTTACAGCGTGGAGAGCGGAGTGATTAGCTGATTGGTCGGTGACGTTCATTGTCGCACCAATGAGCAACTTACCCTTTTTTCACGATTAGGCAGTGAGCATGATCGGAAACATTTTCGAGAGAGAGTTCTCCTTTTGAAAATGACAAGCAAAAAAGGCAGATAGAGACTAGACAACAAAGAGAGCAAACGCGTTCTAAGTCGCGAGCGAATAGTTTTATTATCTCGAAAGAAGTGAATAAATTTGTTTTCTGAAATAGTTTCAATTTAAAAACCTAATTTCTCCGCTAATTTCTCTCGACTCGTGTGGTGTGCGTGGCCGTGGCGCTTTATATTCGATCAACAAGACTAAGAAGCAGTTGAAGGAGAGTCTTTCGCCATCCGAGGAGAGGAAAACAGGACGTAACATTGAAGAAAAAACGCTTCTTGTTATAAGAATTTTTTTGTATTGATAGCTTTAAGAGACTAAAAGACATATGCTTGTTGTGAGATGTGAATTAATGATGATATTTTATTAAAAAGATCTTACCACAATACAATTAAAAAAATTAGAAATTTGATGGCAGTAAATAAGCAGCGTTGAATCAAACGATGTGCAGGTCGGCTTTGCGTTCAAGAGTATTAGGCAGCTTCTGATTAAGGATTCTAATATTATAAAAAAGATAACCGCAAGACTCGGTGCAAGGATGCACTACGGTTTGAACAAAGGAGTTCCAGAAATTCTTGGCAGCAAAGCAATTGATACGCCAGATCCGCAAGCATGGCGCGATACACCAAATGTGCTATGAGAATCGATCGAAACCCGGTCAGTATTTCAAATTACAATCGATTCGGCTCGACTGACCACAATAGAAGTAAATGACAGATAAGAACGTGTACTCACCTCGAAAGCGAGACACGCGAAAGACAAACCAAGACAGAGAGCAAATAATGGTGCCACGAAAATTGATAGCAATGTATAGCAACAGCCACGCGATATTCGGAAACACTGAATGCTCAAGCACCAAGCGCATTCGGGACTTCTTATACCACCTGGTTCGCCAATTACTTCTTCCCAGATCACCTGAAATCCTCAAAAAATACACCATTTATTTGAATTTTGGAAGCTCTAGATCTACATCTATTGAAAAATACATAATTCAACACGAATCAGCATACAGTTCGTCTATTTGACACGCAGAAAAAAATACTTTTATGGATATATGGAAATATTACGCAAACACCAACCTGTAAGTGTTGATTAAGATGACGAGGATCCCGATTCTCAAGCTCCACGTGGCTTTCATCTGACAAAGCAGTTTTGCCCATCTCTGCAATGACAAAATTATGACCAACATCTGAGCAGCGGAAAGCGTTTGTTAGGCACGATATTGCCCTTACTGGGATAATTAGCTGAGCGAGTGCAGATAAATCAAAGAAATGAGGCAGCAAAATGGATACAAAAGGAAAAATGCGATTGCCCGAAAGAAGCGTTCTATTACTTGCGCTTTTGTGCAAAATAGAAAATGACTGAAATGCTCGAGTTTACATCGCATCGTAAATCTTTGTGACTCAAGCACGCCTGAATATTTAAACAGATCTACAACTGCAATGGATCTCTTATTTTCTTTTTCTTCGTACATATACGCTGCAGATACAGTGTGTCAGTATTGCGTGATGAATATAACTCATGCTTGCGCGACGGCTATTAAATATGAGAACTATCTGTGATTTATAGGACGTACCTGCGGCCTAACAGACGGAGTTTTCCAGCCTAACTTTTGGAATGTTTGAGAAGTTTGGTCCCTGCAGTTGGAAAATCAACGATGGACGCACGTGCAATGCCGTTTTTCTTTGGAAGGTATAGTCAGTAAAATGAGCGTGTTAGCATCGGCACAGTGGGCGCGACTGCGCATTGATGTAGTACAAGCTGTATTGCATGTGCCCAAGGGTTGTGAATGTGTCGCCTCGTAAGTCCTACATACTGAACGTGATCTATGCTGATAAAGCCACGAAGTGAACGACCTGCATTTAGGTGAATGCACTCTCCACAACAAACTCACCATAAAAACGACTTTTCCAGTCCATAATGCTTAACACATAAATAAAGATGTTCGCGCCTTCTACCTACTTCCCTTACATTTCCTGTCGTTTTTTTCTCAACATATTTGTTCAAAACCTGTCTTGAAATGTTCAGGCAAATAATTTTTTAGCTATAAAGAAGATTAAACAAAATTTATGATGCTTAGGACTGAATTCGTCCTTATGAGTTGTACCCATAAGTTTCGTCTTTAGATATTGCTGTATTTTGCATATATGTATATATGTGTTATCTCTCTTTCTTTAAATGGCCAAAAATGTCATTGAAAATTATTCATCAAAGAAAAATTTACTAATGAAATTCAATTAAGGTATATATACTTTTTAATGTTTCGAATTTTGAAACTAAGTAGAAGGTTAAAGCGCAGTCAATAATGGTTTTCATCACTAATAGTAAACTGTTACGTGACGGACCATTTTATTTTTTTGTTATAATATATCTAATTAAGATTTCGCTTGCGAGAGTCCCATTCGTTTCGCGCCAAGGCCAAGAACATAGCGACACTATGGTCAGCAGTACCCGTGTACGCGCCACGGCGGGAATAAGTGGGAGAAGCCGAGCATACTGCTGCAGCATGCTGCACTCAGCGTGTTAGGCTAAGCAATATGAAGCGATTAGAAACGTATAAATCAGAAAGAGACACAGTGTAAGGAATGAGAGAGGGAAAAAAAATGCAGAGACGAACTGTAAGAGCGAGACCCAGTAGTCAGCAGTGAGCGCCCGAGTAAGTACCACCCCCAGGCTTTAAAAAAGCGTGCGCAAGCGAAAAATAAGCATTATTATATAGTTCGATCTAATGCCAGCTCCAGTTCCAATTCAAGTAAGGTTTAACTCTCCAGAAAGTTACTTCGAATAAAAGAAAAAAAAATAATTTAAAACTAATTTTTTGCTATCCTTCCTTTCCTGCTAACTTAGCTAAATCGAAACTCGAAAGAATTAAGTCTTCTAAAAGTATTTCAGCAAGGTCTGGGATATTCACATATAAGTCCCGATTCCATTGGATCATGGTGTTCGATGGAAGACTTGTAGTCAAAACTTTTTCTTTTTAACGCGAAACGCGAAGTAGAAAGTTCTGATTCTTCAATTGTTCATCCCGGTTTAGGCGTACGCACGCAAACCAAACAGAGCACCTGAGATAACGTCCGCATCAGACGTTCCTGAAATAGTGACCCGGACGTCACACTATCATTGATATAATTATGACTGATTATTCGGCTACTTTTTTACACACTATACGATAACGTCGTGTTCTAGATCTCAAAAATCGTGCATTATGCCATATTTGTTTATAATAAATTTCTAGTTAAATATTCACAATATAATTTTTAATTGCATAATGAGCAATTAAAGTAAAAAATTATAAAACTTCTTTTATTTTGAATATTAATTAATTTATGAACATGTGCTTTCACTGAAAAGAATTTCCCATTATTTTGAATTTCAATTTTTTTGCACGAATTATAAATGAATCTTAAACTTTAATATTGATAATATTTATGTTTAATATTCAATATACTTACATTATATCACTGTTTTGGAATGAATAGTTTTGAATTTGCTTTTTATGAAAATTATATTGTGACGGCAGATAATATCATTTTTATTTTTAGAAGAATTTTTTTTTGCATATGCTTTCGATTGGTTATATAGCAAAATTATTGAGTATTACAAACGAAGCCCTCTTAGCTGATTGGATGTATACTGAATAATTGGCAGATGAACTAGTACAAATTCTAAAAGCAGGACAAGAACTAGAAAAAGTAGACTCATATTTTCCCTATCAAGCAGATTTGGAATTAGTATTAAAGACACATTACTCTGATTCAATAAATCCAAATTTATATTTTTTGATACATGCAGTCGGGTCTCTTTTAGGATTAGAGAGATCTAAGTGTTACGTCTCAAGACGCATCTTTACTCATTTACATTCTTTAAAAGTGCAATCCCGAATTGCGTAAAATCAAAACTATATACACGTCCGCCAGAAAACGATACGGCAGCAAAACACAAAGACCGTACTCAGCATTACACAACACACAATGAACTCAAAAGGAAAATTACTCAACTACACAGAAACATCAGCGATTAATTGAGCACAAATTTATGTATATAAAATGAACCACCCGAAAGGTGATTAGCAATTATCGTTACTCCGTACACGTCAGTTCGACAATTGACGAATAAACTCTACGTATCGACGCTACAGTCGCGTGCAAGCCTGTTCGACAATTTGGTTAACTATTCAATTATTACCTGTCAAACTACATTATTTGATCTCAATAAATACGCGATCCATTAAAAGTGAGAACGTGCAAATTCATTATTGAACCTATCCAAATACCAAGATCTACGATACTGAAAGTACTCTAGAAACTGTAAGTACAACAAAATAATAAAACACATTCATTCTTATTCATACATCGTATATTATTCATTACTTGTGAGTCTCAATCAGCCACTAGTACTATATTGGTACGTTTCGCACATTTGCTATTCGTAGTTTATGCACGAGACGTAACATAAGAATGAAATTTATTTTTCAGATCAAAATGCTATGGTAAATAAACAAAATGCTAAAATTATGGCATATGCATATAGCAATAGTTTTGACCTAGTAAAAGCATTCTTAATGGGTGGTGAAAAACTCCAACCTGATCTTACTAAAGATGATTCACTGGATAAGATGCCCAAGACTCCGGATGGTCTCCAATGGTTTGTCTTTATGAGAGCTTTAGACTTCCAATTACCACCACTTATGGCAGCATTTATAGAAAAAGCAATAGCCAACATTGGAGATGTACGAGAAGGTACTATAGATGAATATGTTAAAAATCAGTTCTAACCATGAAAAAAAAGGACATTAAACACAATGCTTAGTTTTTTATTAATCTTATTGATAGCTGACCCTGCAGCGGCTATTATGGGTTATGACTGTGGATCTAGGTCTCTCAACATCACAAATCTTAGCTGCGTACGATACCCGATTTTTCCCCACGCTCACGCTCCAATCAGGGCCCGAAAATGTGAAAAATTAAGACGTTGAGAGAGGGACTCGCCACCCAACCACCCCCAGTGTATAAAAGGAGCTGTACGAGGCCCGAGGGACAGTTAAGAAAGAAACCACACGGTGTAAAATTTTTCTCGTGCTACCAGTGAGGAGCAGATCAAGAAAACCAAGCGGCTAATCAACACAAAAAAAAACAGAATAAATCAAGGAGAAATCGACCAGTACCAAACTTGCAAATTTCACAATAAAAACAGTAAGCAAACAAAATAATTTTTTATTTCTTTTTTCATCTTTCTTTCCACTATTTAAGAAATAGCTCGTATTTCCCCCTTTCTTTTTTTTTATATCTAGAGACTAATTTTGATAGGCTCCAGGTATTAATTTTGTTAGAAAAGCCCGGAGGATTACAACTGTTGATTGGAATCCAAAGGTAGAAGTATAGGTTTTGTGGCACTATCCCCCTCGGTTAAAATTTTCTTGACGAGTGATCCACGCCAGTTTAAGCGAGAAATCGCAGTTCTAGTGACATCGATACCCTGAGACTGCGCTAAGCCTCAGGCGCACCTGAGCTGTGTCGTTGCCACGACGTCACAATATTCTGAGATGTTAATTTTAGTTTTTATGCTTTAATTTTTTTTAAATCACGTGCATAAATGTTTAGTATTCAAGATTATAATTCAAAATATTTACATTCACTTTCTCTGCATAAATTAGTATATTATAATGTATTATTAACAAAATTCAATATCAAGATGTAAATTTCATTTTATTATGTTTCAATTTTCCATAAGTTTTGTACATGAAATTTCATTAAAAAATTCATCAACTTTGATAATATATTCATTAGTTCTTTATTTTTCTATTAAAGTTATTTCATGTACGGTTTTGTAATTTGCTGCATTTATTTTTGCATTAAATTTCATTAATGATATTTTAATAGTGTACATTCAATAGTGGTCAATTCTATTAATAAGTTTTTTATTGACAATCTTAAAATTATTGATTGATATTTAAATTAAAATCTAAATAAGAGCCAAGTATGTAATACTTTTTATTAAAGAAATTACGCACATATTTTTTATAGGAAATTAATACTGTGAAATACTTTGTGTACAACGTAATTTATATTCAAACAATTTTTTTACACAGACTAAGCAATTAATGATAAAATAAAATAATAATTATTATAATGAACTACAAACACTTTACTAACCTATTTGGGTTAGGGCATAATAATGATTAATACATAAAATAATGACATTGAGAATAATGAGTTGTAAAAGTGTCAACCAATTCAAACATCAAGATAGGTAAATATAATTTAATTCACTAAGTTATATTGTAATTAATTGCTATCACAGATATACTTTTTTAACATCACATAATGTATGATATAATAATTTCATTAAAAAATATGATAGATATAATGTTTCTGTTACTAAGAAGTTATTTTGTTATTTTAAAAATTGAATGATATCTTCAGTTACAATGTTAATAAGCGTTTATTACAGATATTAAGAGTCCTTTTTCCATTCAGACATTCGTCAATAGAAGTTATTAATAAAGAGGATTAATTACGATACAAGCTAATGATCGTCGAAAGAGTTTTATTTTGAATTTGAACGTAGATGTATCTATTTGATATCTTAAAATAATTTCTTTAAGAAGTTTAAGATCTCCAGCTATATAATACTTGACACACAGATATCTTATTGTTCTTCTACCACTTGTTTTGCATATTTGAAGACTCGACACTGTTGACTTAAAAATTTTGCAGTCTTGTCCCATTGTATCGTAAAGCATTTATCGCAATGAGTGGTTTCATTTTTTGACCTACACTCGGAGCACAACTTATCAACTTCTTCCCAAGGCAACTCTTCTATTGTAACGTTTTTCGAAGCAATTTGACATTTGTTAATCTTAGTTTGTTTGTTATCGCGCTTAAGAAATACTTGTTCGTGTAAACCGACTTGATCGCGATGTATTTTACATTTTTTCATATGTGAAAACATTTCTAATGGCTTTTGTGCCACTATCTGCGTCTCTTGAATTTCACTAATAAAATTTTGTTGATTGTGCGAGTAAACTTTGCCAATCGTCTTCGTATCATTCATTAATGGCAAAGATAAACGGGCTGATTTCCGTGACAAAGATTCTTCTAGATCTTGAAAGGGCGTTCTTTTCATTTTATTTCCTGGATCATTTAGTATATTTGGAGCCGAAAAAATAATTCTTCGAGGATCACGCAGATGAAGTTGAACCGTTGGTCTGACTAATGGTTCAACTGTTATCGGTATCAAAGAATAAATTCTATTTTCTTGAGTAAACATGTCAATAGGACATTGTAGACATACAATTTCGTTGCAGGAACGTCTGGTGATTGGTCTCTGTATCTCATTTTCGTTTGCTGATGAATTTATCTGTGATCGGCTCGCCATCATAACTAACTATACGCACTCTAGAATATTATAATACCTAATACAAAAAAAAAATTAAAAATTGGAATAGTTCTGAAAGAAATTTGAAAATCTATACTTAGAAATTAATAATCTTTTTTCTAGAAAAATTCTCATGAATACAGTTGTATGTAGAGTAACTACTAATTTTTAACGAAATTACGCTGTTAAAATATTACAGTTTGTTACAGTATGAATAAAAGTGAGCAACGTTGCTATGCCTTGCTTAAGATGTTGAGGAAGTATAAGCCGATACTTCATACTGGATTGGATTCCTTAAAGTATATTTTGTATGTAAAGATTAGAGCTTTAGATTTTCTCTAGCTTTATTGGTCGTTCGTATATGAAATGTAGTCATAATTGTTATGGTCAATTTAGTTCTTTGAAATATAATCAATAATCAAACCAATAAATATCAAAATATTTTTTAGAATATTAATAAAATCGTTACGAATATTAAATATACCTTCTAACTTGATAAGAAAGTAATAGTAAAATTCACTGTAAAAAAAATGCATGTTTCATATATATTTTTACATTGAATTTCATTTGTTTGAATCATAAGTTAATTTTAATGCATATTTAAACGATTTTTAATAATATATGCATGAAAAATAATATCTACATGTGAAAAATAAATTAATTAATCATGACAGTTAATCTTTTGCGAAGCAAATATTTTTTTAATGTTTTAGTTTATAAAACGTAATTTCATGTGTTGCCTATTTGAAAATAATTTTATAAAATTTAATGCATCGACACTAAACTTAACGATTTATAATTAATATATTTCTAGGTAATATTAATGTTCCTACATTGGATATCAATTCTTTATGTTAATTAATATTTATTTATGTTTCAATAAATATTAATATTTTAATAATTGATACTCAATTTATGGATAGCATGAATTTTAATATTTTCAGACTATGTAACTCATTTGATAATTCAGATTCATTGTCTGGAATATATATATATTTTTTATGTAATCTTTTTAGAATTTTAATAATAATAAACAAATTATGTTGATCCTTCTTTAATTCAATTTATTTTATTTCGCTGGTGAAATGTTATAAATCGATAGCGAGTCGTTAGAATTCATTTGCTGACTTTTATTATGTTGATCTATTATTATTAGGATTAAGGATTTAATGAATAATCTAGTAATAATTAAATCTCAACTAAAACTATGATTAAAGTTTTGGGTAAGAATTTTCATGAACAAGGACTTGGATATTCTAATTCGTTCAAGAAAAAAAATGAGCACCTTATTAAGCTACAACGGCCGAACGGATTATATTGACAAATATTCGTCAGAGCAGGCTTAAACTAGTCCTGTGAAGTCGAGCTATTATTTGAACGAGCGAGTAGACAGCAAAAATGACAAGGTAAGTTATTCTTGTTTTCCAACAATTTTAGATAACTACTGAGAAATAAACGATAGAATATCAAAATTAAGTAACCTCAATTTTGTGCCTTTTATTTTTTTTTATGGAACAGCTTCACGTCGAGACATCAATATTTCAACACATTTTTGTTCATAGCATTCGTGAAAGCACCGGTACCTATATTTTTAAAGACATTTTTCGCTTCAAAACTAAACAAACGTTATTTTGTCAAAGTTTGACAACTTTTTAAAGAAGTGTTCCATATTTTTTTTCTAAAACACAATCGAAAAATTGGCTTGTTATAGAAAAGTGCATAGGGAACGAAGCTTTATAATCTTCTAACTTAAATAAACATAGAACGCTTCTTTAAGAAATCGTCAAACTTTGACAAAATAAAGTTTGTTTATTTCTGAAGCGAAGAATGTATTTAAAAATATAGGTAACGGTGCTTTCACGAATGCTATGAACAAAAATGTGTTGAAATATTGATGCCTTGGCGTGAAGCTGTTCCACTAAATTACTTCTATGATTACTTCTAATCAATATTAAGACTTAAAATTGTATACATGCATTCTTGAGATGTTGACAAATAACGTAATATTGGAAAAAGTTCAATTCTCGAAAATTTACAAAGGGCTAATAGAAAGTTTACGCTAACTGGAGTATTTTCAAATGTTGTCACTTTAATTCATCTATAACTGTCAAAATGCGAGCGAATTGAACTGATGAAATACTTTTTCGGTTGCGCGGAGTCCTCTTTGAAAACCGCTGAGCAAGAGAACGTCCTTAATTTCAATGACAAAGCCGTGTCAATAGAATTTGTTAGCTACTTTGTCAGCCAAAATCGATTTATGTTCGCGTGTGGTTTGAAATTCTATATTCATTTTGAAGGTTTTGAGAAGCACTTATAACTCAATAACATGTTATCGAATGTGAAAATGAATCTGAATAAACAATGAATTGTAATGTTTATTAATATTGTAATTATTACATTTCATAGTTTTCCATAACTTTTTCATCAAGAACATTAATTTTTGATTCATTTTAATTGACATCATATAATTACGTGAATAGCATTTTATATAATTCCACTGAACACTTTTTACTACAACTTGAAATTTCTACTTTTCTATATATGAATTTTTATTCAGTTCTTGAGCATAAGTATTAATTAGATTTTACATAATTGATCAATACGTTTGCATTAAATTACGGTCCATACTATTCAATACTTTTTGTAGAGAATGGAATTGTGTTGTTAAATTGAAAAAATAGGAACGTTTTATGTAAGCCAAATTTGAAACAAAATTAAAATCTTTAACTCATTTTGGTAAACAGAAAACGAGCTAGAGTACAATTAGATTTGAACATTCATTTTTCATCCATTGTGTTAAAATGTTATGATGTGTGTGTACTAAATATCATGCTGATACTGAAATTTGTAATTGCTCAAACAATTAATTATATCATGTAATATTAACAAATGTTTATTTTACAGAAGTTAAAATATCACTTTTTTTAAATAGAATCAATAGGAAAACCAAAGTAAAAATTTATATAGTTGAAACAGTGTTGGAAGTAATTAATCCTGCAAAACTAGGTTATTATGCATTTTAGAAGAATATATAGCTTGAGAAAATACTGTCAGACAACGAACTATAAAATCTATAAATACGGGCCCATAAATACTAATAACCGATCTGGGGTCGTTGAATTGAACACAATTTATTGAAGTAACCGATTTTTTATTTAAACAATAAAATGTCCTTTGGAATAGTAGGTCCATGCATATTAAAGTAATAGTTAAAACATAGGTTCAACAAATGGAAATTATTGTGACAACTGATATTTATATTGAAACAATAACATATTGTATAAAATAATGAACGTTTTTATTCATTCATTCAGTTTGGTACTATTGAAATAATGAACGTCTATAATTGAATCAATAAACTTTTTTATTTTCTCAGCACCCAATAACGCCATTTATATATTTTTTTATTTAGGTAGCTAAGAAAAAAATATTCAAATAGCATTAATAGGTGCCGAGAAAATAATTAGTAAAGATTAATACCGAGTGCGCTTTGCTTCAGTATTACTATACATTGTTCTCCTCTTTGCTTGATAGTTCTCCCACTCCGCGCCTACTCTCGCGCGCGGACTGCCTTTTCGCCGCATTTTATTACACATTTTTCAAATTTACACCTATTTAAACACAAAATAGGTCATAGGTATAAATGGAGAATTTTTAGTTCAGGAAATTATCTATTCAAAGCTTTTTTTAAATTTTAAATAAGTGGATCTCCTGAGCAAGAGTGGATTTTACAATATAGCTTGAAAAAAACAAGGCTATTTGCAAAATTTAATAATTCATAAAGTTATCATCCTCTTGCGCTGGGATTGCGCACAGACCAAATGTACGATACAATCTGCGAGATATAAAAATTATAGCTCTTCATCTTTGTAACTTACCCCGTAATAATTTTTTTTAAATCACCCTTTTTTCGTCTATTTTTCACTTTTTTTGATTTTTCTCATCTCGATATGGACCGATTGACTTGATCGACGTCTCGTCCGAAAGGTAATTCAATTTAACTAAAACTTTCTTCATTGGGGTATACATTTTGATAGAAGATTTTTTATGCAATCTTTAATAGAAGGATTGAGATATATCAATAGACCTATTGTTATAAAAATTATTATTAATATTACTTTTAATATGACTTAAAAGAAACCTACCTTAAACTTACCTGCTGTTTCAGCTGAAAAGAAATATAATATGGATAAATAAAAAAGGAAGATTACAGTTTATCAATAATTATCTTTTTTGTTCATATACATATACATACACATACAAAAAAAACACATACGTACGATTTTATTAATTTTTTATCTATATATTTTTGTTACAGATCTAATGACAACGTGGAGATGGCTTGTGAAGTTATTCTACCACGACACGTCATAAATGTCAACTTAGTCACGCCTTCAGCGTCCTTCGTTGACCTAACGACGCCTCAACCGCTCTTGGTGGACTTAGTTTCACTAGAGCAGCCATGTCGAAGGATATCGTTCCAAGAAGCAGAGGTATGGTTTTTTTGCCTCTTTTTTTTATTACTATTGGTAATTTATTACAAGTTTCTTTTTTTCTTTTTGCAAGTCGATGATTACAACAACACATTGCCTGTCTGCGAGGGTTGGGAGTGCGCTTACTGCGCCGTTGGTCGTTGCAGTCGGCGACCGCAATGGGTAGAGTCTCCTCCACAGCGTGGAAGTACGAGGCCCGTTGACAGGACCGGACCCGTCAGGCACGTTGTGCGTCGCTTGTTCCGGTCCCCATCAAAGTCTCCTACAGAAGTGAACAGCCAGCAGCTTTCAACGCTTTCAACGTCAACTAACAGTCAGCCACCGTCGACATCGACGAATAGCCAGCAGCCTTCGTTCGACGTCACCACTATCACCAGCCAAACACTACGCACGATCATCGCCGGCAAAAAGCGTTATAAGGTAGTGAGATTGTTCGCTGACGACGACGACAGCAGCAGCAGTAGTTAAGCTTGTATGTATATATATTGTGCAATAGCTTTTATAATAAATTTTCATAAATAAAAATAAAATGTATTATTTCATCTTATATTTACAGGTAGATGTACTTTTTTTATTAAACCATCTTCGGCAGGTGACACACACACACACACACACACAATAAAATGAAAGCGTGGAACACAGAACGCACGGGCATCAGAGCACATCAACTTAGTAGGACGGGAGGGGGGGCTGCATAGAACGCACGGGCATCAGTAAAGGTGGGAGGGGAGG